TTGAGAAAGACGGCGGCTTCCAAAGGCGAAGTGGGGCCACTGAAGGTAAAGTTGGAGAAAGCGAAGGCCCAACTTGAAAGTTTGAGGAGAGAAACTGCTGGATGGAGGAAGACCGCGCGAAGTGTGTGCGCTAGGGGGTTGGAAGAGGCCCAAAAGGCCAAGAAGAACGGGTCGGGCTGATCCACGCTTCCCAAACCGATGTCCAAATGATCAAGCCCACTAGAAGACCTGCACACGAGTTCAACGGGGAACAGGGAGTCCCCCTGCGAACCCTCCAACGAGCAAGTTAGAGAGAGAAACGGAATGTAGAGATGAATTAGAGATAGAAAAGCTTAACCTTCTTCTTGTCTTTGACGTTTGCTTATATCCTCCGGTAATCATTTCGTTGTCCCTTCCGAGCTGTCACCTTGGTCGAAAGTCGATGCTTTAGCTTACCTTGTTCATGGTGAAGGCGTTCTGTCTCGACAGAGAGGGGTTATCACAATAAATGCTATAAGGGGCTTCATTAATGGTGATGTGCAGTGGCAATAACTTTGCAGATCTTTGTCTGCTTATGTGGCTTGCCTTTCTCTTGCCATGTGTCTTGCTGTCATTGGTTCTTATTGCTACGTGGGGCTTCAGTAATGCTGGGCTTTAGTATTTGAGTTATGTATTGAGCCTTAAATGGTGGGTTATAATCTTTATGGGCTTACCCATGTCAGCAACCAAAATTATAAAAATTCAAATTACAACTTGCTCGATACTATAGGATTATAATTTGTAAAACATAGTCTACCTTTACATAATTATTGGAAAAAAAAATACTATATTCTATTAATTTTTTGTTACAGTTTATTTTAACTCTTATTTGAATATTAATAATTTTTTTTAAAATTGTAATAAAAAAGCATTGACGGAGAATTTCTTATTTATTGAAAAAAAGGATGAAAATTTGATGGACAGATAAGTGACATTTGAACAGATAGAAATATATGATATTTCACAATGTTATTATCCTTATGGCATCAAAAGATTTATCTTTGAGGTTAATGGCTCAACAAATCTAAAAATGGACATCCAGATCGTGTGTCCAAATTAAAATTTTGAACTTAAATATCAAGCACTAATGTTACAAGAAGTTTCTAGAAGGAAAGTAGAATGGAATTCAATACTAAGGGCAGTGGCGACTCTATTTTGTTTTGAGTTTTTTTTGTGTTTTGTTATTTTTAGTGATTTTATTTTATATTTTAAACATTTTTTTGGATATACCTAAAAAATAAAAATATTTGTAAAAAATGTATTAAATTTTTGTATTTTTTCTATGTAATAATTTTTAAAAAAATAAAATCACAAATAACTTATTTTTTAAGTGTATCTAAATTAAATTAGGCGAATTTATTAGAAAATTCTCTTTCAAATACTTATATCCCAATTAGTCCATCAGATATTCTTGTATTCCAATAAGTCCTATTATTTTGGATATTTGATCCTCCAAATATTAATTTCTTATATTTAAGGTATTTTATGGATTACAAATATTTTTTGAACTCTTAACAACTTGGTGATATGAACATTTACATTAAATAAATTTGACAATGCAAATGTTCAAATTGATAGTATAAATGTTCACATTATGTAATATTCACATTATCAATGTAAACATTAATGAGCGCTTCACTCTATTATTAATATGGATATTTTGGTAAATACATCACTTATAGAACATATTAAAACATAAAAAAATAATTTTGACTAAATAGAACACAAATAAGTAAGGAGAGATTTATGAATACATGATCTCATTAAATAATTTCTCAAAAATACCAAATTTCACAATCTACTTGTGCTTAAACAAATTTTGTTCTCCAAATTCTCAATACTTAATACTCCAAAATTAATAACAACTAACTCCTTAAATCACACACTGCCACTGTACACTCTGATATATATAACGATTTTTTTTTTTAAACCTCAAATATTGGTCACCCAACAGCTCTCATTAATCTAAAAAATAAAAATCTACTCAAAATATTTGAAAAATTAATGAAAACAAAAAATTCAAAAAACTATTTTGTGAAAATTGTTTACCAAACTGAGTACAAATTTGGCATCATGGTGATAACATGTCACGGTTGATATTTACTATTATTTACCAATAGTAAAACCACATATAGGGGTGAACTCCATTATTATAATACAATTACTTAAGAAGATAAATGACAAAATATATTTAAATGATGATACTAATAATATAGTATCACGTATTAAATATATTTTGTGAAAATTGTTTACCAAACTGAGTACAAATTTGGCATCATGGTGGTAACATGTCACGGTTGATATTTACTATTATTTTCCAACAGTAAAACTACACATAGGGGCTGAACTCTATTATTATAATACAATTACTTAAGAAAATAAATGACAAAATATATTTAAATGATGATACTAATAATATTGTATCACGTATTGAATGGCCCCGTTTGGTATAACTGTTAAAACAGCTTATAAATTATAACTTAATAGATTATAGATTATGATTTTAATCAGAAGTTGTTAATTTGTTTGGTGTAGCTGTTGGATTATAGATTTAAGTTGCTGAGTAGTGTTTATTAAATAAGTTGTGAAATAGCTTTTTTAATTAATTTTTATTTTTTGTTTGTCTACATTTCCCATAAAAAAAAATAATAATAATCTATAGTCCATTTGGGTCTTTTTCTATTTTTAAAAAAATAAAAAATAAAAAAATTTAAGAGTATAACCATAAATTAACATGTCCACAGCAGAAGTTGATAATCAGAAGCAAGGGGTGAGCAGCTTCTCAGAATCAGCTTTTTGGAGTTAAAATAATCTGTTAGAATCAGAAGCTGTTTGAAATAAGTTTAACCAAACAGTCTAAAATAATTTTTTCAAAACTAAAAGCCATAAGTTAGCTCTGAAAAACTGAAACAAACACCTCAAATATATTTTTTCTTATTTGATGGCATCACTTAAATTTTTTTAAGATATAAGTTATATAAAATAAAATATTCAAAATAAAAATAAATTTTCCTTTCTTTTTTTTTTTTTCCAAAGAAAAACCTTTTATTTGCTTGATGGGTCACGCACCCCATCAACATGTAGGTGTCGTCACCCCTGACTCCTGATCATGAAATATTACAGTGGACCAATAGGTCACCATTTTCCATCGAGGCCACCGTGACTTGGAGTGGGTGCTGAGAGGGTGATTTATGATCAGGAGTTGGGCCGAGATATCGACCGAGCAGGTTGAAAGCCCAGCAGTGCATTGGGCCGAGATGATCGACTTCACCGTTACTTGCTCGCAGGTGATCGGACATCGACGGAGCTCAGAAGAAAGGAGTACGGGCTTGCCGGAATATTTGCTCCCCGTACAAGTGCTATGATAGCATTGTGCTGTTATATTTTGGAAGATTTGTTTCCATTATGTTTTAATAATTTAAATTATTTATATTATATGATTCGTCGACTATATTATTTATATAAAAAAAATGATATTAATTAGAGAAGTATAATCTCATGATCAAATTTTAATTATTTTTTAAAAATAAAATTAAAATCATATTAATTACTTATTTTTCTTAAACATAAATGTAGTGTTGTTGTGGGTTATAAATTTTTAATTAATCTGAATTTTTTCATTAATAATCTATTCAACGAACCTTATATTATAAATGATTCAAATCATTAAAATAAATTCAAAATATGTCCCCATAGGCAGTGGCGGAACCAAAAAATTAAATTAGAGGGGGTACTTATTAATTACAATATCAAAAATTTTTACAAAAAGATTTCACTCAAGTTTTTACAATTAATTTCGAGAAACATAAAAAAAATAATATTATTTGTAACTAGTGTATCATGAACAATACAAAAAAAAAAAATGAATATAAGTCTTAAAATAAATTATATAATGAAAAAAAGAAATTTATACAAAATTTGATTAAAAATTCAATATAATGGTAATACCACGTCATCATTGATATGTGATATCACCAACTAATAGTACATAAACGCATAGAGAGTGAACCTCACATGTTAAATGTAATTAACAATTCAATAAATTTTATATCTTTATAGTGAGATTATTTATATTTGCATGTTAATAATAATGATATCACCGTTATATTCAAATTTTCATAGATAATATGATTTATATTAGTTTCTTCATTTTCAATTAAAACAATCATTATTGTTCTCATAATTTTTAAAGTGTTATCGACATTTCATTTTAATAATATTTTTATTTAAAATATTTTTTTTATATTTACAAAATTAAAAAAAAAACTCCCAAAATCCAGGGGCACGTGACCCTTGGGCGTTCACTCCATCTGCCACTGCACATAGGCTCACAGCACAGTACCAACCCCAAGTTCAAGATGACCACAATGTTAGATTTAGAAAACAACAATGCTAGGTGGCCACAAATTTTGTGGCTTAAATGGCCCGAAACTGTCAAAACGATGCAAAACGACGTTGTTTTGACAGTTTCGAGCCATTTGAGCCACAGAATTTGTGACCCTCAAACATTTTTCTTTAGAAAAATAGTTGGACCCGTTTTTTAGAAATCCCCACAACTCATGTATGTATGGGATCTACTTATGTATGTGCAAGGCCCACACCATTAATAATTGAAATCTAAAAGGAGTTGTGAGGTCCCAAAAAAGAGGATCTCAATCTTTATTGTTAAATTTATAATCTATTATAACTAAACAGAAATGATACAGACTTCTATTTGTTTTTTACCCACGCAATCTCCACAGAATAAATAAAAAATTAACCAATCACAATGGCAGGGGTTTTCAAAAACAGAGGTCCCAACTTTTTTCCTATAACTAAAATAGGAGGACTACATGTACAAAAAAAAAAAAGTAAGTAGGGATGACATAATCAGAGTAGCTAGACATAATTATAATTGTCAAAGCATACGAAAATAAATAAATAAAAGAGTTATCAAGTAAATCATATTTGGATTGGAGAAGGGAGGAAGGAAATAGAGTCACCCAATTGTAATTGGTCAAGGATTTCACAAAATCAGAAGTCCAAGTAGTTGGCTGGTAATTGGCTGATCGTCTCTGAGCTGTACGCTGTGAATCTTGCTTGACAGAGGAGCAATGTAGGTACAAGCTGCTATGCAGAGCCCTTTGTGGAAGGCTCTGTTTTGAAGAGCAGTACAAAAGATGGGGAAGAAAGGAAATATGAAGTGCCATTTTCAGTGTTACTAACTTTGTTGCAAACTCATATGCCAAGCTTCAACTATTTAGAGAGAGAGAGAGAGAGAGAGAGAGATTGGAAACTGGTTATCACATTTTCATAGTAGTATCATTTGGGATCGCAGTTGTGATTGAGAGCTCTGAAGGAGCTACTTTAATGAGGTGGTATGGAATAAATAAAAAAATATATATAGACATCACATCAATAGTGTGTGAGACTTACTATCTGCTCATTAGAACGGGGTTTAGAGCTCAAGAATTAAATTTCTAAAACATTTTTTATTTTTTTTGGATGGAATAAGTGGATATACAAACTGGTAATCACATTTTCATGGTAGACGGAAGAGGTAGATATACACGGGATTAGCTTCCTTCCATATTTTATGTCTCTATGCCTCTATGGTGCTGTTTGGGAAGCTAGAAATGAGGCTATTATAGCCTATTTTAAGAAAAAAGCCCAAAAACAACACTGTTGGAAGCTTTTTCAAAAAAAAAAAATTTTTTAAAAAAAAAAAAAAAAATATAGGCTGCACAATCGGCATCAGCTACAGCACTTGTTCCATCAATAGGTAAATTACGATTTTATCCCTTGATATCAATTTAAAAAAATATATTTTTAGGGATAAATTTGTCATTTTAAATTTAAACATCATTTCAACACACTTTTCAATACAACAACTCAACTAAAAATTCATCTCATCTTCCCAAACACAAAACTAAAATAGCCTACTAAAATAGCCAAAAAGTCAAATAGCCTACTAAAATAACCACTTCCAAAACGAGGCCTATATATTCTTTTTATAAATTTTAATTTGGACCTGTACTGATAATTTGAGTCGTCTATGTTATAAGCCCCACAATGAAAATCATCTATGAAAAAAATTAACTTCATCGAAAGAAATCACATTTTATTTGATAAAATAAGTAGTTTAAATTTAATTATGTTTACCATTAATTTTACAAAATAAAATGCGATTTATTTTTATATTTTTAATTTTTTTTGATAAAGTTGATTTTTTGTATGAATGATTTTTATTGTGAGATCTATAAGATGGACGGTTCGAATTATGGATACAAATTCGAATTAAAACCTATAAAAAAAAATATAAAGGCCGCATTTGTTTGGCCGATTAGGTTGGAGGGGATTGTTAGTGAAAAGATTGTTAATGTAAAAATTATTAGTGAGAAGATTAAGTAAAAATGTATTTTTTTATAATTGTATGGAAGATAATTAACGATGAGATTGTTAAATTATTTTTAAATAAAATAAATTAAAAAATTATTTATATATTAAAAAATTAAAATAAATATTAAACCAAAACGTACACTTGGGATTGTTAAAATATATATATATATAATATTCACTGTATCAGACGTCCAGAAAGATGATTGGACAGACTGAAGGTGTTTATTATTTTCTTAATTCCACTCATTTTCCAGTCAAACTAATCTCCCTATTGACGAGAATTACTAAGTTGCCAAAACTGTGAAATCAACCTTCTCAAACAACACTAAGGGGTAGTTTGGGATGATCTGAATAAGTACACTTTTTGACTTTTTATGAAATATGGGTTGGGTTTGAAGTTTTGTGGTAGAGAAGTGATGTGACTTAAGGGTTCATTTGGAAAGTAGGTTGACTTTTTGGTTTTTTGACTTTTTTGATTATTTTAGCCTAGGGCTAAAAAACCTGATTTGGGAAGGACTTTTGACTTTTTTAGCTTTTTTATGAGAAAAAGAATGTAATGATTATAGGTTGAATGTGATATTTTATCTTACTGGGCTAAAAAATTTATTTTATTTTTTGTGACTAAAATAGTCAAAAAAGCCTAACTTTTGACTTTCCAAATAAAGCCTAAATAACATGATGAGATTTAAATAAAATAATGATTTTTTGACTTTTTTTAAATTATGATAAATAAGTCCTAACTATGCTACGAATAAAACCCATATCAATCCTATTCCGGTCCAGCTGTTGAAATGACCAAACAAACAGATCAATCTTACTTCAGTCCGGCTGCTGAAGTGACCAAACAAACGAAGTCACAGAGACGTATAAAAAAACAGTAAGGGTTGTCGAAGGAAAGGGTGGCCGATTTGTGTGTGAGTAGGGACTAGTGCTTGGCCAAGCTCACATGGAGTCCCTTTTTAGGCCATGTGATTGTTGAAAGTTCTACTCCCTCTTCTATTTTTTCAGTTTACTATTTTATTTTAGAATGTCTTAAAATGATAGTTTTATTCAAAAAATCATAGTAAAAAATATTTAATTTTTCAAAACTAATCCTTTTGAGTAATTATAAATATATTAAAAATTTTAAAAGATAAGGACATTAGTGAAAAAATATTTTGAAATTTAAATTTAAGTGTAATAATTGTATACCCTCTTAAAAAGTGAGAATCCCTAAAAGGGACTAACAAATTGGGACGGGAGAAAGTATAATATTATGAATACTCAAAATAGTGATATTAGGCAATGGAATTACTGGTGTAGTAGTATTAGATTAAAAATGTAAGATAAATTGTATTGTTTGTATACTTCTTCATTACATAAAAATGATTTTGTTATTTTTATGAAGTTGAGTAAAATGATATCTTCACCTCCAATTCTATGGAGTTCATTGAATTGCTAATCCAATCTCACTTCTTGTGGAGTTTAACAAACACGAACTTAGTGACTTGGAGTCCTTTTAAAATCTCAACTTAGACCTATTTAGGGGACATATTATTTTAGGTTAAAAGTTAAATAGTCATTATAAATGATCATATTATTCTTTCAATTTTTTCTGTATGTTTTTTCATAAAAAATAATTACAATGGCCAATTCCGAAACCACTCCTAAATTGCTAACTACTCAAAATGATGTGGGAGCCTCACATTTATATGAGTATTAGGCAACATCTTATTATGAATAGTTGATAATTTAATATAAAATTAATTAAAAATCTGTAACATTTTTATTTAGAATGTTAATTTGGATTCTGAATGATTCTATAAAAAATAAAGAGGGCTCACACTTATATGAGTATTAGGCAACATCTTCTGATAAATAGTTGATAATTTAATAAAAAATTAATTAAAAATCTGTAACATTTTTATTTAGAATGTTAATTTGGATTATTAATCAATTCTGAAGGATTCTATAAAAATAAAGAGGACTGTATTTAGTGATATTTTTTTTAAAAATTATATTAAAATTTTTTACTATTCAAATCCATCTTACATAAACATAAACGAATCTAAAATGTAAAAGAATAAAAATTTACTAAAGAAAAAAAAAAAAGAAAAGAGTCAACTTTTGAGGCTTTACTTTTTTCCTTTCTGGACCTTTTTTGAATTTTTTTAAAAAAAATTAATTCTCAAATCCATCTAACTAGAACTCAAAAATGTAAAATCTTTTGAATTTTTTATTTTTTTAAAAAAATGTTCACCAAAAACGAAAAAAAATAAAAATAAAAAACTAAACACCCAATTAGCCGCTTTTGGTTTGTGAATAATTTATTCAAAAAGTCAAAACATTACATCATTTATTAATTATATTTTCCCTTCCAACTTTCTATTTAACTAATATACTTATTCTAAACATAATTGACTTCTTTCTCTTCATAATTTTTTTAAAAATTACTAAGAAAATCAAATCACTAAACAGACACCAAGTAGAATTGAGGTGTCACTGTGTCTAGATCATCTTTTCGAAAATGTGAAAATGTGGCCATGTTCCTTAACCTTTTCAGTTTTTAGTTTACAAAAAAAAAAGAAATAGGTATTGATTTATTTTTGTAAAAATCAAAAATAGAAAACTTGTTTAGTACACAATAATATTTTTAAAACAAATAAAAATAAAAATAGAAAAATATATTTGACGAGTTATCGAATTTTGTATTCGAAGATAGAGGGTAGACAAAAGTGGTGACCGGTAGTGGTAGGCAGCCGAAAGTATCTACCACTGGAATTAGTGGTCGGATGTCATCGGAGAACACAAGGTAGCCAAAAGGATGCCAAGAGGTGGCCTAAGATCATGATGGTGAACGCCCACCAGCCGAAGAGTCGCTAGAGGTTGGTTGGAGCTCACCACCGATCGGCAACAGTTTGTTGGTTGTGGTTGGTGGCCAGTGGTGGCGGTGATTGTGGCCGAAGGTGGTGGGTGAGAGAAGAAAGTGAAAACTTGTTTTAAAAACAAGTGAAAATATATATATATATATATATATTTTATTTTCAAAAATTTTGAAAACATTGAAATCAATTTCATTTTTTTGAAAACCAAAATAATATACCAAACAAGTTTTCATTTTTAGTTTTAAAAAATAAGAATAAGAATAAAAATAAAAATAAAAACAAAAACGAAAACAGAAAATAAGTAACAAAAATGTTAACAAACAACCCCTAAGATACCATATTTCACTAACTGATTTGAATAAAATCTAATTAATGTAATGTTTTGGGACTACAAAATTACTTTTTAGGTTGGGCTTCTTTTAAAATTAAGAGAGTTTTAAAAGGTTATGGTTAGCAAATCCAACATTTTTTTTAATTGATAATATATATATTTAGGGTGTTATAAAATGAATGGCTCAAATTATTAAAATGAGATTCATACTGAATTTTATAGACTCTTCAAGTTCTCTCAAATTAAAATACGAATGTAAAAATAGTCCAAGCCTTACTGTTTCTCTACTAAGGTGGTCCAAGAGGGTTACGTGATCCATATAATACAACACATTTTTCATTTGGGTCAAACTCTTGACTAGACGATGTTGTTAGCCTACAATGAGCCTAATTCGGATTCCATCTTGATGATCCAAACTGTATAGAGCTCATTGAGTATATCATCCATGGAAAAAATTATATTAATCAGATATCGTTAGGCACTTGATCAGCTTGCATTTGTGTTTGCGATTTATTTTAAAAATCATAATTGCTGTTGAAACAACTACAAACTAATCAAATGACTATCGATATCTAATCAATGTGCTTTTTTGTAGGGATGATGTACTCGATGAGCTCAACACATAATATGGTTTGCATCATCAAAATGGGCCTAGAATTGGACCCA